TGTGTATGTGTGTGTATGTGTGTGTATGTATGTGTATGTGTGTGTATGTGTGTGTATGTATGTGTATGTGTGTGTATGTGTGTGTATGTGTGTGTATGTGTGTGTGTGTGCCAGCGTGCGCGCGGGTAATTTTTGTGTGCGGGATCTTTCTCCCTGTGCGCTGAAGTCCAGCAAGCATCCTCACCGCCCAATGTTCCAAGCTACTACAGCGGTCGCCTCTCTCTCTCTCTCTCTCTCCCGCTCTGTGTGTGTGTGTGTGTGTGTCTGTCTGGCCCCTTCTTTTTCTCCGGCCTGATACTGCCATGACGAAGCCACGCTCCCGGCCCCCTCTACTCGCCTGTCGACCTTCGCCTGCACGCAGGCGATCTTTCCATCTCCCTTCGCTTCGAAATCTCTCTCTCTCTCTCTCTCTCTCTCTCTCTCTCTCTCTCTCTCTCTCTCTCTCTCTCTCTCTTCCCCCATCCATCCATGCTCTCTCGCTCGGCCTGCAACTCTTGCCTTCTCATCAGCCTTCCCCCCTTTAACGAATTCAAGCAGGAGCTAGTTCACCGACCGACCCAGACGAGGGCTAGTGGGAGTACATGAAAAGGAAGAAGCATTGAGAGAAGAGAGGGTGAGAAAGAACATTCAAGCACGTCATTTTTTGAATCGCATTCCCCAGAGCTGTGTTCATTTATTAACTACAACAATAAAATTGACACAGCAAGCGGATCCGACACACACACGGTCACTTTACCTGAAATAAGAAGGCCGCCTCCTTTCACTGCGTGATACAGCAGACTTCACAGTCGACCTTTTCTCTTCTCCCTACCCGAGTCGGCATCGTTCCTCGGCGAACTTCTCCACCCCTCCTCCATTTCCTCCATAGCTGCATACTACAAGCCCACAAGCCATATACTCGACCACCTTCCTCTTTTCACCAAATTTTAAAATTTGTGCCTTTCCCGCTTTTTCCCTCCCTCGCGCGCCTTTTCCCCTCCAGCGCAATTCCCACCTCAGCAACCCATAAACAAGTTCAATACAACAAATACCCCTACATGTAGAACCCGAACTGCACTCGCTCCTCTTCCTGGATCAAAATCACAAATTAAAAAAAAAAATCCTCTTCCTACATCGGAATCCCAAATTAAAAGGAAAAATAAACAATTAATAGTACTATCTACAAATCAATCACAAGGTTCACAACCCGATTAAAACGCTCTAGGCGTGTCCTTTTCTCACCTCCAGCACCTCCCTCTCCCCTGCTCGTCCTCCTCCTCTCCTCCCCTTCTCCCCCCCCCTCTCTCGCGTAACAAGTCCGACAGAAAACCGATCTTAGCATTGCCAAAGCGATATCCACAAATCAATCACAAGGTTCGTTCTCTAAACGTGTTCTTTCTTAACCTCCAGTACCCCTCCCTCTCCCCTCCTCCTCCTCCTCCTCCTCCCCCTCTCGGAAACAAGTCCGACAGCAAACCGACCTTAGCTGATCGCGCGCAAGGGGTGACAGAAGGGGCTTTTTCCCCCTCCAGTACCCCTCCCTCTCCCCTCCTCCTCCTCCTCTTCCTCCTCCCCCTCTCGGGTAACAAGTCCGATAGCTAACCAACCTTAGCTGATCGCGCGCAAGGGTTGACCCAAGGGGCTTTTTTCACCTCCAGCACCCCTTCCTCTCCCTTCCTCCTCCACCTACTCCTCCTCCTCCTCTCGGGAAACAAGTCCGAGCAAACCGACCTTAGCTGATCGCGCGCGAGGGGTGACAGAAGGCGTGTCCATCATCTCCACTACCTTTTCTTCTCCTTTTCCTTCTTTTCTTTTTCCTTCTCCTCCTCCTCCTCCTCCTCCTATCCCTCTCGCGTGGCCCCACTCCCAGACCAAACGAGCTTATAGCCGATCCAGCCCAAGGCGGGTGAGTGAACGCACGGAAAAGTAGAGCGGACAATCACATCCCATTCACCAATTAGTCTTACACACCGCAGACCGTTTCTCACACGACTCTTTCTCTCCCTCGCCAGGCTTCTTCTCCATCAAAATTCTGGTGAAAATTCCTCCACGAGTTCTCCCCAAGGGCGCTCAAAGAGTTTCCCACGTAGCACTCAATGATCATCCCACGTGGCACTCAAACATTCCTTTTGCGTGCCACGTGGCACTCGAACATTCCCTTTGAGTGCCACGTGGCACTCAAACATCCCCCCGTTCGAGTGCCACGTGGCACTCAAACAGTCCCTTCGAGGGCCACGTGGCACTCAAACATCCCATTTGAATGCCACGTGGGACTCAAACATTACACTGGCAGTTTGGCAGTCAAAGATTTGCCACGTGGCAAAGCAAAATCTTTTGGTCACGCCACGTGCCACTCAACGATTTTTCCCGCCACTTAGTAGTCAACGATTACGCCTGATCATTTCTCATCGCACCATCTCTCTTCTATGCGTCGCCGCGCCCTCCTTCGTTCTCCTGCCCTTTGTTCTCCCGGCCAGCTCAGCCACTTATCGATCCCCTGCCGGTAGGTATATTTCAACACTGAAGGGGCGGTACCACCGCTGGCCATCCGGCAAGATTTTGAACGCATCCGGACGAAATGACGTCCAAATGCAGTCAGATGTTGGCGGACTGCGAGTGGTGCAACAACTACGTAGGGCCCTAAAGCCGCAAGAAAGATTGGCTACCCTCGCCTCATGTACATGATCCGTTCCGAGGCTTCGTCCAAGAGACCGCCCCTGTAGTAATCAGGGCAGTACTCGAAAGACTTGAGTCGATCGCTGTTGCCGACGAGCTGATCGACGCCCTTGGAGAAGAGTCGTTGAGAACCCGCGACGGCCACGTGTTCAAGCAAGGGACACATGTCGCCCATCTTGTACACGATGGTGTCGCTCACCTGCGCGAAGCCGATCAATCGGAGGGATACGAGATCGGGGCACGCGCTGAGGAACGCAAGGAACTCTTCCTCGAAGTCGCCGAACAGCGCTCTAGGGTCGGAAACGAGGTGCAGACTGCGAAGAGACCGACCAAGGCGAGACAGACAGCGAAGGAAAGGACCGCAGCACTGCCAAGGCGGCAGTCGGGGCTCCCAATCGTGATAGAAATTCCCTTTGCTTCGTAATCTCTCCATGACGCACTGATTACTAGACTCGTCACCGCTGAGCATAGCAGTGTACAGCTCGCGAGACAGCTTCAACAACTTCAGTTTGCGCGACAGGACGGCTTGACCCCACATCAGTTCCATGCGCTCCGCCTGCTCCGCGACAACGAAGGGATCAAAGACCCGCAAACCCACCTCCCTAAGATGGCGATGGCGGACAAGAAGCACCTCGAGATCGGCCAGCGATGTCAAGGAAGGCGGCCGGACGGTGAATCCGACGACAGATCCGTAGAGCAAGAGCTTGACGAGACCTGTGCAAGTGCCGCGGGAGAGATAAGAAGTCGCGATCTCGGTGACGCCGGTCTCATCGAGACAGAGCTCGCGCAGCTTCCACCCACCCTTGGCAGCGACAACTTCTACGGAGCGATCGGTGACACGTCGGCAGCGAGATGCGGCGAGCCTGCAGAGGTCAGAGCACGAATCCATGGCCGCCAAGATCCCGTCGTCGGAAACGCCGGTCCCGCTCACGTCGATCTCCCTCAACCCGACGCACACCTCCACTGCCAGCTTGAGCTGCGAGTCCCTGAAGTCTATGCTGTCGACGACGCAGAGAGCAGTCAAGGTTGCGTGTTGAATAGTGAAGGAGCGGACGGACGAATCGAGTCGCACTTGACCGTCTTGCAACAACAAGGCGCCCGACCTCACAGCGAGAGAAGATAGCAAAGGGCAGCCGTCTGACAACGAGTCGAACGCACGAAAAGAGAACCCAGAGAGGGACAGATTTGTTAGTTGATGACATCCAGAGAGGACTCGGATCGCCGAGGAATCGTCTTCGAAACCTACTATCAGGTTCAAGTACGGACTGGTTATGGTTAGGGAGAGATCGGTCAATCCGGGGCACCCATTGACTAAGGCAGTCAACGAGCGCTCAGTGAAACAGCCAGAGCCGCCGGTGAGATGGAGTCTCGTCAAGTTCAGACAACGCCGGGCGATAATCAGAAGGGACAAGCTGCAAAGAGTATGATGATTCAAGAAGAAGTCATCACCAGCCTCCTCTTCGTCATTGCTAGAGGAAGAACTCTCGCTACTCTCCTCCCCCTCCCCCTCCTCCTCCTCCTCCTCCTCCTCCTCCTCCTCCACTTCTTCTTCCTCGTCATCATCATCATCAGTATCATCATCATCATCATCATCATCATCACCACCACCACCACCACCTCCACCATCATCCCACTGCTGCACCTGCTGCTCCTCCGCACGGCCTCCCTCCATCGCTAGATCACCAGACTCCTCCTCCTCCTCTTCATCATCATCACTACCATCATTATCACCACCACCATCAGCATCAGCAGCACCACCACAATCAACAGCAACACCAGAACCATCATCCAGCCGCTGCGCCTGCCGCTCCTCTCCATGACCACTCTCCATCTGTAGATCGCGGCCGCTCTCCTGTCCTTGTTCGCCCTCCACGTGGACATCACCGACGCCTTCCACTGCCGCTCCTCGATCTCCACCATCCCCATCCTCATCCTGAATATCATTTCTTACCAACGAACTCAACACTTCCAGTTCGTCATTCTCCACCACTGCGTCGTTCCCGACATCGCCCGCGCGTCCTATATCGCCGCCTTCGTCGTCATCAAGGGTCGCAGCCGCCATAGCCACCGCGGCAACGCTTCTCGTGGCGCGATCGCCGCCATCACCGTCATCATCATCCTCACCTTCGCCTTCACCATCACCATCACCGTCCCTCAACAAGATCACCCGCGGCTCTTGTCTTTCCACTCCAGCATCTCCTTCTTGTCCTCCATCGCTCGTTGCAGCGACTTCTTCTTCTTCTTCTTCTTCTTCTTCTTCTTCTTCTTCTTCTTCGCTAAGATTGAACAGAGGAGGTGGAATAGGGATTGGAATAGGCGGAGCAATAGGAGGATGATAAAGCAGGAGAGTGGGCGGCAGCATGAAGGAAGGATAGACATCGTTGACGAACTCCTCGATCTCACTTGCCACTTCGCCATAGCCGGCGTCCACGATGAGAGAATGATCAAACCAATCGGGAAGAACGTTAAGCGGAGGAGGAGGGCAGACTGTGAAAAGTCGAAAAGACTCTGGGGAGGTCATGTTGTGGATCGTTAACTGCTTAATTTGCGGACAGTTTTTCATAAGTTGATTGATGCGCCGATCGACGCTGCCCAACACAGACCACAGCTCTAAACGTGCGAGTTTAGTTTGCCCGGCGCAGACAGCCATCATCCCCTTCGTCGTACAGTATTGCAAGATCAGCGTCTCTATGTGACCTCTGCTTAACTCGCCTAACTTCTTCAGCATTGCATCTACACGACCCGGAATCAGCCAACCACCGAGAATGATAGGTTTGCTCCGCCGTTTATCGTGCAGGATAAGCCCCTGCTCCTCCGCCCACTCTCTCGTGTCGATCTCTCGAAAGCATTCTGGCTGTCGAGCCACCCTTAACCATTGACGACATACCAATGGTGCAGTGAAGATTCGATCGATAAATGGCAGCTTCGTCAGGATGTTTCGCAAAACATCATCTCCCAGCTGGCCCAATTCCATTTCCACCCACCCTCTTCCACCCCACTTCTCTCTCTCTCTCTCTCTCTCTCTCTCTCTCTCTCTCTCTCTCTCTCTCTCTCTCTCTCTCTCTCCCCCTTGATTGATTGATTGAACGATCGTTCGCAGACAATCTATCTCACGGCGCGAGGGTGCGAGCAATTAGTGCACCCGTTATCGCGTAAGTGCAGCTCTGGCAGTGGCTTTGAGGCTCGATCCACTACTTACCAAACGTGCAAAATGAGAATGAATCTTCCGCTAGAACATGGAAAGATACCTCGCCATATTTTTTGTCTTTTCTGCATGCGGAGAGTAGTGGAGCGAGGCTCTTTCTGTTCCTTATGCGCAGCGAGAGCGAGATGCTACCAGTTCCTGTAATAGAAAGTTGTAATGCAATTACAGAGAGCTTTGAGCTTTGAAGCGCCCCATCATACCCGGGCAGTTTGGAGATCCCAGTAAGTTGGACCGGGCACCATTTCGTTCGTTGATTGAACTCCTCCACTTGACACGATTGGAAGAATCCTACAGTCCTACAGTAGCAACGTTGTGGGCCCAACCAATCACCACCTCGTTCTTGATTTCAGATTATCCCCTTACACTTGGGGTTTCCCGCCCGCAGAGGTGATCCTTCGCGGGCATTTGGACCCCGACGCCCTGGAAGTCGGCGGCTGAAACAGATCCAAGCCTTGGGGTCGAAGCCACACGTTCTCTCAACTGAAAGAAAGAAACAAAAAAGGAAACTTGTTCTGTTCACGTACGAAAATCTTCGCTAGGATCTCCACCCAGGCCGACGTGTCATTCGGAACACGTGTCTTGATTTTGTCCACTGTCTACCGTCTGTCTAGCGTCTGTCTGCTTCCATTCGTACAGGCTGACCGCCAAACCAACCCGACCAACCCGACCGATGTACTGATCACCAATTAGACGGATAGTCAGGGATTCTTTTATCCCTTTTTCGGTAGTAACCCCTAAACCTTCTACGATTATGGAGATCGCCAAACCACGAAGGAGACGAAAGACAATGAGAGTGCATCTTCCCGCAGAAGATGACCGTATTCCTCAGTTACTATGCATAGCAAGAAATGCTTGTGCCAACTAGGCTATATATTCTTCTCGCAAATCTTTCATCATCTTTCAAATTCTTTCAATTCACCTTCACTACCTACCTACCACTACTGCTAAGGCTTAGGGCATACTGAGGGCATACTCACACTGGCGTTCTTTTTTTGCTAAATCGCAAAGTCTGCTATGGTGTTAGAGTCACACTAGGGTTTTCCGACCACCAAAATTGCAAACGGGGTAGCTTTTATCAGCGGCCTGGGGGGCCGCAGGGATGGGCATTTTGCTACCACCTCGAGAGGTGGTGGCAAATTCTCCTTTGGCCGTCGCAAATTCTCTTTCGCCTTTTGGGAATTGTGACCATGAGAGGCACAATTTTGCAATTGCCAGAGAGTCCCGCTCGTGTCCTTTCTGATTTGACAAACCATGGGCCTCGCCACACCACTCTCGAATCTAGAAAATATTCGAGAGCTGTCAGGATTTTTCGAGAGGCCGCTTTTCGAGAGAAAATGGCCCTTCGCCACATAGCACACTAGACCGGCCTCTCGAAATGGACGAACTCGAGCGCGGACGGGCAGCATCACGAAAAACGGCCTGACAACTCTCGAAATGGACGTCGAACTCGAGCGCGGAGGGGCGGTATCACGAAAACTCCAACGCTGCAGGCTGGGCGAAAACATCGTTTCGAGAGGGCACTCAAAAATGCCTTTCTGACAGCTCTCGAACAGTTTCGAGTTTTTT